TTTTTCGGTTCCCTAGACATGAGCGACCGTGCATCGCTAGCGGCATCCATGGCTTCACATCCTGATCTCCTAACTCTCCTCAGAACGGGCTTGTTCTATTTCGAAAAAAGAAAAGAACGGCGCCTGGCAACACCTCCAACAAAGCTTAGCCTTAATGGTAGCCGGGGAATGGTGTCACCCTAGGGGTCTTGGTTCCCACGGCTCTTGTGAGATTTCCCACTACGTTGTAGGCGAAAGGAGATGCCTGTCAGTAGACTATGTGTTTTCAAGATGCTAGTTAGCCTCCACGATCACAGGCAAACACGATCGCAAAACATACGGAGGATGCAAATCTACCGCCCCTTCGCCGCTGCTGCTGTCGCTGCCGCCGGCGCCGGAACAGTGTTGTGCTCACACGTAACTCTGTGCCCTCCGCTATGCTGGGATTGGGATGGGAGGGGATGGGAGGGCTTGATACTTTCATATCCTCATGTTCTCAGCGACTGAATTTCAAGGATGCGTGTTTATGAGCGCGTGGCTCAGCAATGATCTCCGTACAGCGCACCCTGTCCGTCTGACTTACACCCACCTTATCGCCACAAGGGGGCAATAACGGCTCACGCCAGCCCGTCTTTTTCTGCAGCGAGGTTCGAAAGTGGGTGTGATGTGCCATTTATTAGCCATACCCTCGGAGCCGCTGCCCTCGCAATCACCGAATCATGTCGTCGTCGTCGGGTTTATGCCCAACCAAGCATGATACCCATTCACCAAATCACTAACATCGGTTTTGGGTCCTGGCCCCTCTGCCGTCCAGGCCTCCGTCATTTCAGCTACAACTCCGCTTTCCGTGAACTCAAAATCTTCTCAGCCACTACCTTCGAAGGACAGGATCCCTGGAGGCATTGCCAGTCCCCAGACACCTCTTTGCTGTACGGCAATACTTCCCGTTCAATCAATTGCTTCTTGGCACAGCTGCTAGATGGTGGTTTCATGGCTTTCGATACAGTTTCTCACGTCCCCAAGTCTCATATTCTGTCGGGCCCGCCTGTATGGAGTATGTGTATGTATACGGCTTGCTAGTGAGACACCTATCTTGAGTTTCCTCTACACCCCCCTAGACTACTGTACATGACCGACCTACGCAATGTGATCTCAACTTCACTCGCCTTTCGAGAATGGCAACAAGATATTGGACGGGGCATGTCGAGAGGAGCAGTTCGAAAGTCGCGGTGTCAGCGCTCAAAGTGTGGCTTGTTAGCATTTTCCACATATCGAGTTGGTGGCGCGCTGCTCGCTCGCCCGGTTCATGGATCTCTTGCTACCGAGTTGACCGGCTCTTTGTCTTTTGCAGATTGCAATGCACCAGGGTTGCAGCTAGCTTATGACTGTTGCTTGTAGCGCAGCCCTGCAGCATATTCCCAGCATAACCGGCTGCCACTTGCATCGACTGGTCTCGTTGTCCCGCGCCGGCCCAGTGGTCTTCGTCCCAATAGGGCTGCCCCGTCCGTTGATGGGGTTCTCCGGGCCCTGGATCTCTAGAGGCACATGTATCTGATACTTCCTCCAGACTGTAGTATAGAAGCCCCCAATACCTCTTTCTTTCCTTTCGCCGTCTCCTAAAGAAACACTTGCCGCTGTGGCTGACCTTCCCATGTGGCGGGCCCTCTCGTGAGCTTATCGTCTTAAGTCTTCATAAATACCCTGGTATATGTCACCGCTGGTGCCCCATCCATCCTTTCAATAAAAGGGAAAGCGTCATCTATTAGACCTGGGTTGTTTTTCATCAGGACCACTCCAGCTTCATACAACTTGAGCTCTTGCCCATTATCCTTTGTGCCTTTCGTTGATCTTCATCAGTGTTGGTAGACCAACACCACGGCGCCGTCGCAAAGAGCTTGTTACGAGATTCGCGATCTGGCCTAGATGCCGAACTCCTGTCGCATACTGACAACGCCTGTCCCGTTAAGTTATAAAACGACTAAATGTCAACGCCGGCAGTACGTGGCCCGTTCCTCTGTCCATATCCATTCCTCCTCGATCCATGTTCCTAATGTTGGCATGTCCTTGTCTATAGCAAAAAGCAAACCTTGCCCGGATTAGAGATAATCAGAGGAGATCCCGGGCCCGAAGAAGAGAGTATCTCCAAGAGCTCGAGCAACGACTCCGAGTGTATGAGTTGCAGGGGGTCGAGGCGTCCTCAGAGGTGCAACATGCTGCGCGGAGGGTTGCAGAGGAGAATAGACAACTTCGTGGTCTTCTCAACCGACATGGGATCAGCGATGACTACATTAGTAGTTACTTGAACTCGGGTACAGCGTCGTCGCAGAACGATCCGGCAGCAATATCGCACTTCCCCCCCAATACTCACAGCGATAGTGTCCAATCCCTTCAGCAGGTTATAGCGCCCCGGAGACCTACAGCTCTCGATACTGGGGTATCTTACGGCCTCCCTCCGCAGGAAAGCCGTGAACCATCTATCGCGAGTGGATCTACGAGCAGTTCTTCTATGTGGGAATCTGGCCAAGCTATCCAGCCACCTTCAGCATACACCCGACCACTTCCCTCCAACGTCCCTACACCAGTACCGAGGCAGTCGATAACTTCGTCAATGCATCCCCAGCACTACACCTCTCAAATGTTCCATGATCCTCAAGTTTCACGGACCGAAAGCTACCACGCTATCGCTACCCCTGGATCTTTGATGGATGATCCCCGGCGACACAGCTACTCTGTGGCACCCATGCCTGGAGATGTCTCGTCAACGATGGGTTATAGCATTCCCATGACTTCTTTTCATAACCCTGTAGGACAAGATGGTGGCCCTTCAGGACCGTGTTGACTGGATGGCCAACCAGCAGAGAGCTTTCGTCCGACCCAATGGACTTCGCTGCGCCCGGTGGCCTCAAAATCCTCTGCCATCCACATCGAACAGGTACCGACAAGTAGCTTCGTGCTGATGCAATTTGCGTGAAGTTCAAGAGGACTTGATACAATCGCTAGGCATAAGCTCCTTCGACCTATCGATAGACTTGACCTGGCGTTTTGGCGGCGATGTGCATTTCCCCACATATTGGATCGATATGGGTGTCCTATCGGTCGCTCGTCTTCTCGAAACACATCCAAGCTTGGTATGTGGGTGGTGTTCCATCGGATGTCCTGCCATGGCGAACTGGATAATGAAACGAAACCTGGGAGAAACCTATGGATGAATGAGCAATGAAACCCAGCGACAAGGCTGAGGTCGACATTCGTTGATGTTCCTGTAGCTTTGTCCTCTACAGACAAAGATTATATTGTTGGAATGTCTTGCAGAATTCTTGTAACATAAAGCAGAAGTCGAACGTCGACAGCGACAAACGAACAACGAACCCAAAGGAACAATGGGTCTTTCATCAGTCTTCAAAGAACGATTGCTGATAGGGCGTTAAGAATAGGAGATACCAACACATGCTATTTCTCATATCGAATATTAATCAAGTACTCTCTCGAACCGACCGTTATACGATCATTCACTTCAGCATTCGCATCTTTGATACCGTTCACGACGTCACAAGTTGAAAATTAAACATCTATGGCACTGCTCTCTGCCAATCTGGAAAAACCACTAGGAACAAAGTGGGAAGAGCTTGACCAGATCCTATCTGCATCGCCTCTTGACGAACAAGCAGTTGAACAATCTACTGATGGCATCCTCAACACTTTGCGCTGTGCGGAACATATGTCGCCTCACACCTATAAAACCTCTCGCCGATCCGGATGCAAAGCATTTGCAAACATCCCAAACCCTTCACTTGGGAACAGATACACAGCTCCTGATGGACACCCAAGTGATAGAAGACTCAGCATCCCGTTGACTTGTCGAGTTGAGGGCATACCGCACATCAAATTATCGGTTCCAATCTCAGGCTTATCCACTGTCAAGGCAGATCACCAAGTATTAAAGAAAGATCAAAGCAAGCTACATCCAACATGGGTCAGCAAGCGAAGAAGAGGAAGCACCAGGAAGTCTCAGCGGAAAACGGGCATTACGGTTCGTTTGGCGCAGGTGAGAAAACCTCCTCAAGATTCTCAGATTGGTTCGAACTCTTTTCAATCTTTCGGACTCGTGTCGGACGCAAAAGACTCAAGCGCCATAGTTTATGGAACAAGGAAGAGGGAGAGAAAAGGACGCGAGTGTCTTCGACCTGTAGCGAAACACCTTCAATGCTGAGGCCGAGACTTCTTGGTGGCGGTGAAGAAGAAATGTTGTCTAGATGTGGTAGGGCGCCGGAAAATACGTCGGATGAGGTGAGAGAATCCGCTGACCTCTGTCAGAAGGATGCCTACAACTTCGACCAGGTTCCTGATGGCTTCAATTCGAAGACGACTTCAGAAACAACAACGGCTTCGGAATTCCCTGAACCCGTTGTGTCACAGGATTTGACCACAAAATGGGCCTTCAGCATCGATGAGGTCAATGCTGCCGCCGCTGTCCTTACCCTTGTCTCTGACATTTGCAGACATCGTGGAAGACTGTCTCTCGAAGACCAAGTCATACTGCGTGATGCCTTCAAAAAGATGCCATACCTCTTAACACCTATAGGAAGGAAAAACGAACCCGAAAAGGCACTCATGTTTCAGATCGAGGCCTACAAGAACCCCGCATCCGCAAGCTGGGGGTCCATTGAAAGCTTCGACACTTTGCAAAATTGGTTAGAATTGCTTGAGAGGTTTGACAACTGTGCGGGGCTTCATCCAAGCCAGGGACCAGGAGGTATGTTGATAGTATAAGTGGCTGGGTTGCATGGGTTTAGAAGCGCTGGAAAGTAGCCTGGAAATGATCGAACTGCATTGCGTGGATATCAAGCATTTGAGAGGCGCAACATGACGATACCCTTTGACTCAGGTGGTATATAATGAATTTGAAAATTATCGTACTCCTTACCCTGCCCATAACCCCGAACCCAAGTTAATTCCGTGATACAAAGCCACATTTGTGGCTGCTAGATGTGAAAATAATAGACAATGGCAAGATAAGATGATCACAAGAAGTAATCCGCAACTGGCTTCTTGGCAGGCATTCCTCGCGAATCTTGGGGTGCAGCTTGGAAAACCCTGTATCGCCGGGCAGGACCGCTCCGAGGAGGCATACCGCCCTCCATCATGACTCCAGTACCACCATCGCTTCTGCCAACATCACCATTGCTACGGGCGAAGAGACCTGTGCCAGATTCGTCTTCGGAGAGTTCCAGGACCGCAGCAACATTTCCACAGCGGTAGCAATAGTTCGGAGCAGACCACACAGTGACGATAGAAGCGTCGAACATTTCCTTGAATCCCTCCATGACAAGCTGATGCGCGCGGGCAATGAGACTCAGGTCGTTCCGATGGTTGAACACCTTGACGATATCAGCTCCAAAGAGGAAGCCTGCACCTCGTGGGGAAAGACCCCAGCCGTCGATCTCATCGGGGTCGGACCAGAGTAGATCGCACATGGCTCCTTCATGAGGGACTTCTTGTTTGCGGTCAATCAAGCGAATCTTGTCAACTGTATCGACCAATGGACTCAAACCACCATGAACACAAAGCACTGCTCCGGCTGGATTTCCCACTGAGCCACCGCTTGACCCTGAAGCGCCGGATCCTGGGGGGCCTGTCTTATCCATTGCTGTTCCGCCTGGGCTTTGGATCTGGTCTTGCGAGCTATCGTCTGGCCGACGTCTGGGAAAGCGGCTCATTATAGAGCCGTTCTGGTCGCATACCTCGATCTCGGTTTCGTCATCGACAGGTTCTACCCCAGGCGACATGGTGTTGGAGGCGCCCAATACGATCGCACCAAGCGCCAGGTAATCAAAGATGTCACAACAGTAACGCCAAACATTAGCGCTGCCGTACTTTCTTATACACTCATCGTAAAAACCGTAGACTGTGGTGATTTGACGAGATTCGTGGTTGCCGCGGATTAGTGTCATTCTATCGGGGTATCGAACTTTTAGGCAGAGTAAAAGGAGGAAAGATTCTAGTGAATAGAAGCCGCGATCGACGAAGTCGCCTAGGAGTTTTGATTAGAGATGTGAAAGTTGGTTGGGTGTGATTAAGGCTGGTCTTACCCATAAACAGGTAATTTGTATCTGGAACATCGCCTCCAACTCGAAAGAGCTCCATCAAATCGTGGAACTGGCCATGAATATCACCACATATCTAATAACAGAATCAGAGATTGCTGAGCCTTCATTAGGACATGAGGCATACCGTTACTGGTGCCGTTACAGTGACGACGTTGCCCTCTTCTATTAAAAGTTCCCGAGCTTTATGACAGAGCTCGCGGACTTGCGCTTCCGGAATTGGTCGACATGCGCGCAGCTGCGCAATGGCCCTGAGAATGAGTTATTAGTTCAAGAATCCGAAGACCGGCGATTGGGCATTCAGCCTCACTTGTCGAGGTCGCTCATCGTGAAAGGGTAGAGTTGGTGGGATGGCACGTGGGGATGCGCGCGCCGCTGATCTTTAATTCTATGCCTTATCGAAGAAAATGATCATAACATATCGTGTGCATCCAGGAGTTGTCATGCGATGTAATGCTATGCGATGCGACGGGATTTGAGCTGATCACGGGGATGACTTGAAAGCTGGGCTCGTGTGTTGGTTGTAGTTGGGGATTTGGAGATTTCGCGATTCGCGGTGTTGAGTGACGCTCTTCGAGGTGGAGACACACAACTGCCCCACCAATTGAACAGCTATAGGTCGGGCTTACATAGAGCCGAGGCCGAAACAATCCCCTTCCGCCGGTAGCCAATGAGAGTCACATCATATCTCAGGTTTGGGTGAGCCTTTACGAATTCTGGATCACCACCACAAATCGCTCGATATTGTCGGCAACGTTGGCTTGGTCAATGCTTGTCTGGAGGACGATGCTACAGCTGTCATGTGAGTTCAATGGCATCTAGAACCCATTGAGACACCCGCTGACGACCAATTGAGACCTTTAGAGTCCACACTGCACCAAACGACCTCCAGACCTAACCAGGGTCATGCCACCACTGCTTCACCCAAAATCGCGAATGACATCGTCGCTCTTCGCAACGACAGTCGCCGCATGCTTTCTAGTCGTCACGATTCCGCATTTGCTTCCTTGCCCTGTACCACGGGCCCGCTTCGCCGATGGAGATGTTATGGTTGACGAGAATGGCCGACGAATGAGATGGAAGAGGAAGGATACCAATCCCAAAGTCGAAGATGGGATTGTTCAGTTTAACGATGTGGCGAGCGACGAGGCAGAGAACGCACAAGATAGAGCAAGGAGGGAATGCCCACTACCGAAGCCGGGAGGCATGCTAGGCGAGTGGTTGGGATTTCACAAGAGCGACAAGGATGCTGGACGATGACCGGCAAATAATGAGCTGACAGATCTCAAAACTATGTATCGAGCGTGGTAGCTCCCTTGATACACATCTGGATGCTTGAATAGCACTCAGGGCGGCTCCCATGGGTTCTGTCTGATATGAACTCCGCTACGATCCTACAAAAACGGGGGAACCATTAAAACGGATTAATAGAAGAGTGCGGTTCTTGGAGAATGGGGCCGACTGTTACTGGAGGGTGATAGCCTTTGTCGAATCCCAAGCCCTAGATGACAACCTTGTTGAAACATACCTACCTTAGCTACGCCTACCCAAGAACCATAAATCAGAAATGGCAATGGGAAGAATAAAAAAATCACAATTAGCTACTCGTCATACTGCATGAGTTAGCCAGATAGCTAGGATGTTCCACTTGGTTGGGAAAATAGTTGTGGAATGATAGTGAACGCGGGATAACCATCTGCTAAGATGTTTCTCTAATGAGATCCGAACGGCTGCATTTCTACGGAGTAGCTTGCGGAGAAATCACACACCTCAAGGTAAGGAAAGGTTAGGTACCTTGGAAAGGTAAGCTCACTACAATCGAAACAACTACATGAAATTCAGAAAGTATAGGCCTGGGCTACTATTTCTCTGAGTCATAGCAGTGAGGAAGGCCTAGGATCAAGTTCATGAGATATCCCAAAATAGCCCGCTCAATTTGTTGGTAGCAGAATACGTTAGCATGGACCTAATACCGGTGGGGTTAAATCAAGGATGAGGGACGATCGGAGAATTGAAGATACGTAGTGACAAGCGGCAAGCGAAGTTTATCTTCTTTACTCCGTACAGGCTTTTTGATGAAACCTGGTCTGATGTCATGGACGCAAAGTTTCCTTAGGAAGTTTTGAAAACTTGATACGATATCTAGGTACTTGTTCTACTTGTGTATCTGGTTCGCGTGATTGCGGAACGTCGGATTGTATCGCGTGATTCCCATTGACCAAAAAACCTCGAGATTTATTCGCGTATCCGTATCAAAATCAAGCCCAGGCACAGAGAGAGACCCTGTTGCTCTGTGCCTGGAGCCTGTCAACCAAGGATCTGCGTTGCTGCAAGGAGGCAGCCAGAAGGCATGCAATGAGAACTAGGCTTTCTGGGCACGACTGGGGTTGGTAGGTTGGCAGGGGTATAGTGCGAGGATGAGAGACAATGCTTACAATGCTTCATATGTATAGATAATAAACTGAGGACCAGGCTGCAATGAAACCTCTAGATAATAGAGTGTAATGGCTGGGAGTGATGGACCGTTAGGCCTCGATGATTTCATTACACACAGAAATGCATGCATCCATGAGGAACAAAGCAAGAAACAATGAATGCAAACGACCTGGAAGCGCCTTGGCGGCCTATGACGCTCTAGCGCTTCTAGAGCTCAGCAGGTAATCTCACCCACTAACGGTCAATGGATGACGCCTTGGGGGTCCCGACCCAGCCTGCACAGACCAGGCCATGGGCGCGTCGAAACGCCCGTCAAAAGCCTAAGGACGGGGGATCTCCAATCTCTAATTTCCCAGTCTATTTCGTTACCTTCCGTTCCAACTATTGTGTTTTTTGCTGTGTGTCGTGTGCGTTTTTGTGTTCATTACATTTTCTTGAAATCGAACCGTTGACGGTCACGGATACCCTTTTCTAATTAGTACCTTCTATTGCATGTTTTTCTTCTGTAAAACACAATAGACTCGGCGGCTTAACACAAACCCACGTGTCGCCGGCTCAGCCGCGCTTTAACAATTCGACTGCCATGCCAGTTTGTCCTGGGTACGCTTTGCGATCGCCCTCGCCGGCTCCAATATCCAGCTGAAGACATAAACATCGCCATCGTTGGCTTCGTCGCCGCCGCCACTGATTTCACGTCATGACTTCTCCCTCTCCTCCAAGAACTGGCACTGGCACTGGCACTGGCACCTATCACGACTCTCCACGGACATATGATTCTGGCCACACTTTGAGCAGCTCTGTCGCTGGCAGATCTGCTCGTCTACGCCCACCTCGGTCCCTCCCACGTAAGCGATTTTATAAATCCATCGCTTGACCTCTCAGTTAACCCAAGAAATAGCCTGGATTGATTCATGGGACGACAAACATGGCTCAGTAAGCGACGACCAACTGCGACTACTCCAGCCGCCCAATCGCGCTGTCCCACCACAACATAACTCGTCACCAAGTGACCCCCAAAGACGAATCTCGAAAGATGGCTTCGTCGATCCACAAGATCCTCTCTTTGGCCAGGGCCAGGAAACGAGAGGCAAAATCCCCCATTTTATGCGCTATGGACGCGCCTCGATGCGTGGCAGGAAATGGGACCATTTGAGATCCGCAGAACCCGTCATCGTGCCGGGACATAAACCAGCGTTAACTTCACAGCCGAACATAGCATGGCAAGACTTTGTCCACTCTTCGTCATGGGGTCGCATGACCAACGAGGACTCGAAAGTGGTGGACGTTGAGGCTCTAAATGACCTACAACCGAATTTCAACACACCAGCCCGCCACCCGTACGATGCACAAGAAGCCAGGATCTCACGGAAGAAGAGGACGCTAGCTCTGTACAAACGTCTATGGAATATAGCTATTCGGCACTCTCTTGCCCCTCTTGTGTTTAGACTGAGCGTCATGGTCACTTCTATCATTGCCCTTGCTATTGCAGCTCGGATTCACCAGCTTGAAGACGTTGGTGACACGGATTCAGCTGAAGAGACACAATCCATAGTTGCCGTGGCCGTAGATTGCGTGGCTATACCATACATTGGATATATGATCTGGGATGAGTACACAGGCAAGCCTTTAGGATTAAGATCTGTTGTCTCCAAGATTTCTCTCATCTTGCTGGACCTCTTTTTCATTATCTTCAAGTCGGCAAGCACAGCACTTGCGTTCGAGAGCCTGGTCTATCATAACTTGTCCGATACAGCAGTGAGGAGCTTGTCAAAGGCGCTGGCAGCATTCATGCTCATGGGACTGATTGCTTGGACGATGAACTTTGCAGTCAACATATTCCGCACAGTGGAACGCCTGGGAGGAGGCGAAGATGATGGGCTGCATGGCTAAGGTAGGAAAGGAAGTGACGGTTGACTGGAGCAACGGACTCGATTTGGAAATTTAGGATACCCCTTTGAGCTGGGAGTGCTTATGGCGACTGGTAGGACTATATGGGACATTGATATCACGGTAGACCGTGCTTAGCGTTCATTGCTGCTCTCCTTTCTCTTATTAGTATCGCAGAAAACCCATTACACGTGCTAAACATGCATGTTTCTTATATTCAGGAACGATCTTGGGTTGGTGAATGAATCAAAAGAACAAAGCTCAGGCAGGTAATTGTGTGTCTGTTGCTGGAACGTGCAGAAATGGCTCTATTTGTCGAACTAGGTAGGTAGTATCAACCACTGCCTGTGGATTACGTCCCTTGCCTTCGTGTTCATCACTCAGTTAGCACTGCACGCTCATGTGTATGGCGCTTCAGGGTGAAGGCATATGTATTATCAAGGTATCCGTAGCTCTCTACCGATACTTCATGCTTCACCTGCAAGGTTTCCACAGTTGGTTAGTACCTAAGGTACTCCATCCCCCTGTTTATCGGAGACAACCCGGTCATCAGCCTAGGGCGGTATGTGACGGCAGATCCCGACGCTAAGCCTTCTACAGCAAGTTGCTCCTCCTGTTGTGGCCTGGCCTGGCCTTGCCTCAGCCAACGCCTTGTCATTCAGTCCAGCTATCCGTACTGCGGTCTGACATTGACTGCCTGATCCTCTCCCGTCCTGTGCATTTATTCGACTGTCAAGAATCACTTTATGGGTGTTTCACTTTCTTCTTTTCTCTCTCACTCATTCCCTCTGATGACTCATATGTCTAGGATGATTTAAGTTTATGGACTGCATTTTGCCTTGCCACAAAAAGCACAAAACTGACTTACCAACAACTACTTATTACTTACTGTCCATCCGAAACCGACTCTAGGCTCGGCCTTGCTCTCAGTCGTGCCTGAGTAGCTCAACACCAGCCGGGACAACATCCCCTCGAGTGTCAAACCTCATCGTCATATTCATCGTCGCGTCGCATAATTGCGCTTCGGGTACAGCTCTATACCTTTAACTCCTTTTGTGCAAATCGACCTTTCGTCGACTCTGACGACATCGCGTCGAACCCCTCGAGACTGACCCCGCCTCCATCACCAACACCTCCACTGAACCGCCATCCATCTTCATTTTCTAGTCCACCATGGCCGCCAAGATGGGTGCCCCGAGTCAAATGCCCCCGATACCTAACAGAGAGGATATTGGGGCAACGTGAGTAGCACTGTGCATGCATAGACTATCAATACTGACTCGAATAGATGGACTTATCTACAAGCTGGTATCTCACGCGTTATGAACGATCTCGAGCAGGGTATCGACATGCAAATGTACATGGGTGTCTACACGTTAGTTACCTTTACCAAAAATCGTATACCAAAAGCGTCTACTGACTTGTCCCAGCGCTGTCCATAACTTTTGTACATCCCAGAAAGCAGTTGGCATGACTGGTCCTGCTATGCACAGTAACCACAGAGGCGGTATGCCATTCCTAGACGCGCATTTATGGCCTGTCAAGCTAACTGCTCAATAGCACATCTGCTAGGGGAAGAGCTCTACAACAAGCTGATCGATTACCTCCACCATCATCTCGATAGCCTTGTGAATGAAAGCAAGGCCCACACCGACGAGGCGCTGCTCACTTTCTACATCAAAGAATGGGGTCGCTACACAGTTGCCGCCAAATATATCCATCATCTCTTCCGTTACCTCAATAGACATTGGGTCAAGCGAGAAATTGATGAAGGGAAGAAGAATATCTACGATGTCTACACCCTGCATCTTGTGCAATGGAGGAAGGAGCTATTCGAAAAGGTCAGCGACAAGGTTATGGATGCGGTGCTTAAGCTTGTGGAGAAGCAAAGGAACGGCGAGACTATCGAACACGGCCAAATCAAGCAAGTCGTGGATTCCTTTGTCTCCCTGGGACTGGATGAAGCAGACCCCTCCAAGTCAACACTTGATGTCTACCGCTATCATTTCGAGCGTCCTTTCCTCGCTGCTACCAAAGAGTTTTACGTGGCAGAGTCCAAGCAATTTGTTGCCGAGAACAGCGTCGTGGAATACATGAAGAAGGCAGAGGCTCGTCTGTCCGAGGAGGAGGAGCGCGTTCGCATGTACCTGCATCAAGACATCGCCATTCCTCTAAAGAAGGCTTGTAATCAAGCTCTCATCGCCGATCACTCCAGTCTTCTTCGGGAAGAATTCCAGGTGCTTCTGGATAACGACCGCGAAGAGGATATGGCACGAATGTACAACCTTCTTTCGAGAATTCCCGATGGTCTCGAGCCGCTTAGAGCCCGTTTTGAAACACATGTGAGAAAGGCTGGACTCGCTGCTGTGCAGAAGGTCCAATCGTCAGAGGGTGACAAGCTCGAGCCAAAGGTTTACGTCGACGCTCTGCTCGAAATTCACACCCAGTACCAGGGCCTTGTGAAGAGAGCTTTCAATGATGAGCCAGAGTTTACACGTTCCCTTGACAACGCCTGCAGGGAGTTTGTCAATCGAAACGAAGTTTGCAAGGCTGGATCCAACAAATCGCCTGAACTTCTAGCGAAATACACTGACGTCCTGCTCAGAAAGAGCAGCACCAGTATTGAAGAGGCAGAATTGGAACGTACTTTGAGTCAGATCATGACAGTCTTTAAGTACATTGAGGACAAAGATGTCTTCCAGAAGTTCTATTCGCGGATGCTGGCCCGGCGTTTGGTGCATAGCAACTCCTCTTCAGATGACGCTGAGACTAGCATGATCAGCAAACTGAAAGAGGCATGCGGTTTCGAGTACACGAACAAACTTCAGCGTATGTTCCAAGATATGCAAATTTCTAAGGATTTGAACAAAGATTTCCGCGAGCATCTTGAAGGCGTCGAGTACACCAAGGCTGTTGATTCAACTTTCTCGATTTTGGGAACTGGATTCTGGCCATTGACGGCACCGAGCACTGACTTTAACCCGCCCCCGGAGATTGCGGCAGAGATTGAGCGCTTTATCCGCTTCTACAAGCATAAGCATGACGGGCGTAAGCTCACATGGCTGTGGCATCTTTGCAAGGGCGAGATCAAAGCTGGCTATTGCAAGGCCAGCAAGACTCCTTACACCTTCCAGGTCTCAATTTACCAGATGGCCATTCTCCTCCTTTTCAATGAGAAGGACACTTACAGCTACGAGGATATGCTCAGCGCCACTCAACTGAGCAAGGAGGTTCTGGATCAGGCCCTCGCTGTTATTCTGAAGGCCAAGGTCCTCATTATGTCTGGCGCAGCGGGCGAGAAGCCAGGAACCGGTAAATCTTTCAAACTAAACTACGACTTCAAGAGCAAAAAGATCAGGGTAAACTTGAACCTCGGTGGTGTGAAGGAGGCCAAGCAGGAGGAGGCCGAGACGAACAAGACAATTGAGGAAGACCGAAAACTGGTTCTACAAGTATGTACATCTCTTTATTTGTCAGGTTTCATACTAACAATAACAGTCTGCCATCGTCCGAATCATGAAGGCTCGCAAGAAGATGAAACACACCCAGCTCGTAAGCGAGACCATCAACCAAATCCGCTCGCGATTTGTTCCAAAGGTCGGCGACATCAAGAAATGCATTGAAATCCTACTAGACAAGGAGTATCTGGAGCGTTTGGAAGACGACGAGCTAGGTTACCTAGCTTAAACCTCTAGCTAAGTGGTATTGGTTCGAAGTCAAGTCGGAGAGCTTCACCCCAGCCTCCGCACTTCGCGATTATGTATTCCCCGAGAGCATAAATATCCGGGCCTCTCGGCGGTTGTGAGCGTCTCTACTTTCTCAATTCCTTCGGCGTGGTCAGAGAGTCTGACGGGCAGACATGATGAGAAATGCTTGGTAAACAATAGATGATCAGCAATTTTGAGCACGTGGCTACCTCTCCCTCGGCCCTCCCTAAGTTTCTTTCTACGTGTCCATTCACTTATTCATTCTCTGTGTTTTGGGTCTTGATGGTTTGGTACCTTGGGTGGGGAGAAAGTTGTTTGCAAACGAAGAATCAGTTGGCTTGGGATCAGGGACTGGCTGCAGGAAGGGCTCTGTAGAAATGGACTGCTGAAAGAAATAAAAAGGTCTTAACGGACAAGTTTTTTTAAAACCGTGCATGTAAAGGACTTATTTAGAGTGAAACGATTAGCCATTTCGATCTTTCTAGACTGTAATATCGCATGGCTCGTTCAATATTAATTACAAACCATATCAAGATACAATGGGTGATATATAAACGAAATGTGGCCAAAATCACCCGCTTTGATGACCTTTATATCCATGAAGCGGCCGTCCATATCCCATGTTATCGGGGCCTTCTTTGTTAACTTATCATTCTTTAATCGTTACACCGTTCTCGTTGTGAGGGGGGCCTGGGCTTGGCGGTTTATCTTTCGAACCAATAACTCCCTCGGTCTGGAAGCCATCGTCTTTCTTTCCGGGCACTGGCGGACCTGGAAGAGGTTTGTTGATCCCCGAGGTTGGCCGGCTGCCTGACTCGCTCACTCCCGAGAGAATACTCTCACTGAAGCTTGCTCCCCGCCCTGGTCGTGCAGTTGCATCATCGGAACTGCCACCTCGAGACACGGGAGCGCTGATCATCTGGTAGTCTTTGTCGATGGGACTGCTTGAACTCGAGTCGTCCACTGACTTGTCAGCCTTAGAGGCTGGTTTGCGACCCCAGCCAGCACCCCATCCACTTGTTCGGCGCTTCTCACCAGCCCAAGCTGCCCAACTCCCGATGTAAGCACCGGCACGCGCGCCAGCTGATTGTCCTTGCTGTCCGGCCTTTGAAGGGTCTTGTCCGGCCGGCTGACTCGAACCGTTCGGTGGTGATGCTGCGCGAGCTTCTTCAGCGCGACGCCGTTGTGCTTCACGCAAAGCCTCCATGTCGGCATACAGTTTATTAAGAACAAAAGATGCCTTTTCACGGCCCGCGGCAAGATTCCGACCGAGGACTTCTTTGCCCTGCGCAAAACGCTCGTCCAGATGCAGTTCTTTTACTTGCTCTGCGATGCGACGCTGTACATCTTCAATATTCAAGCCTCCTGCACAAGGATGTCGAGGGTCAACAATGTCGAACAAATGGGAATCAGTGTTTGCGTTCCACATGCGGTAGTTCTCGGTGCGTTTCCAAGCCTCTACCCACTCATATCCAAAGTCTGCGACAGGATCACCCTCAACCTCCGGAAGGATAGCTTTGGGGTTGTTTGGGTTCATGTGAAGATAGTTGTGGTATTTGACGGAGGAGATCAGAGCGAGAATGTACTCTTCGAACTGGAGCCTGATAAACTCCTCGCTCCCGACGTACTTCAGCGTCTTCGGCCTGCTAGGGTTGGCTTCGTCCCATGTCTCGTTGATCTCATGAGTTAAATAGTCTATCCACCTCCGGTCCGCAGCGGTGAGAGTCAAAGCGCTTCTAAGTGACGGAGAGTTGATAACAACTGAGTCCTCGTCCAGATTGATGAGAATATCACTATAGCGATCCTTCTGCTGCAGGAGAAGTGAGTTTGTACTGCCGACAATGTAGGACTTTGTGCCAAAGTCGGCAAGAATATCAAGTTGTTGCAGGGGGGTATAGGGTCCAAACAAGCTTCCCTATTTGTTATCAGTTCCTGTTCCGGTCGAGTTGTGACGAGACTTACCTTGCCAAATATCTGGAGTGGTAGGCCCATGTAGCAGAGGAGGGAGTTGCGATCACTAGTTCGCAAACTGGTCGGCTTTGATAGGCTTGTCTCGTAGCTATTCAGCTCTGGGTCTGCACTGTCCTGCAGGTTGCGAATGAGGCCGGGTATTAAGGACAAAAGAGAGAATTGCATCATGCACAACCTGTCACATCTCGACCCAAAGAAGAGCATCTGGAAATACCTGTCAGCAATCTTCGTCACGGTGGGGAAAACCAGCAGTGTTACCTTCGGTTGGAGGAGGCAACACTTCAACAAAACCAAAGTTTGCCATTTGTATTCGTGTATCAGCTCACGAAGACTCATGCCGAGATATTGGTCTCGATCTACCTGGTCATTGAGAATGCCTTTGGTTTTCTCATCTGCCAGGCTCTCCTGGAATCTGCGGAGAATCTCAACGTCGGTAAACTCACGCTGCGCAAACCAAGCCTGCGTGACAATACTCAGACGCTCACGAAGCATGCCGAAGAATTGAGGGCTATCGGCAATGACCACAACAGCTTTCTGGACAGTGGATCGCGTAACATCGGCAGGGCGATTGATGAGCTGGGATGAATCAAGTTGTCGGGTGCACGAGATTCCAAATAGTGACGTAGCGGGTTTAGTCTCCGTCTCTGGGCGAAGCAGCGTAAAGTATGAGAAGTCCTCTTCAGATCTACACAGATTTCTCAGCGCCATTCAGAAGTGTCAAAACCGTAATAGACAACTCACGCGTGCGCCCCATCACTCAAGGCCATGAAAGGCAGCAAAGACCAGCCATAATCAGCTGCAGGATCGCTCCCATCGTCTGCCCCAAACCAATTCTCGACTTCTGGGCCCCTTGCATGATGGAATCCGACAACAGTAACAAGTGGGATGAAATCGACCTTGGTAGACGACGCAGGGGAGGAGGGTAGAATGGGTGAAAGTATGGGCTTGAGGTCATCGTGAGACTCGGGGGCGCCAAGACCGGTGGGAGGAGATTCGTCGGAGCTCATTGTTTGGTCGTTTTTCTCTCGAGGTCGTGCGCTAGAAGTCGCCCATGTAGATATCCAACAATATTATTCCAGAAAGGATGTGTATGTATTTATAAGTTGCCTATATCAAGACGCTCGAGGGGCTGATCGATCGACAGTTGTGAAGGTTCGTTGACGTGATAAGGGGGTTGCTTGACTCGAGCTGCAGTGCCAGGGATGGGGGCGAATTTGTTGAAGGTTGGACGTCGAGGCGCTCGAATGGCAGCGAAGTTGGATGCTAATTCGAGGTTCGATGCTGCGGCTTTCAAAATATCGATATATTTTGCCGAGATGTCCAGAGGTAAAACTTGTTATAGTGCGTAGGTATCAATGAAGGTTCAAGGTCGCATAACGATCATGGGTTCCCCTCGACAAATGCAGCATCCAAACAGGACTTCTTGACGAATGGGTATTAAGCTTCCAGATAAGATAAATGCCCGGTTAGTACCTTATTAGCCTCGCTTGTTTCGGACGGGCTGTCAATATGATGCGCATCAATTCATGTTGGTATTGAGAAAAGACGAGATCAGGAAAATAGGAGGAAAGAAAGGTTGAAATAGACAATGCAGGATCAACAAGCTAGCCTGGAGGATGGGTACTAACTATCACGGGAAGGTTTCCCAATGTCCAGGTACCTCAGGTGCTAATAGAGAGGGGCAGGTCTAGATGAAAATCGCCAATTAAACATGCACGTCCCCTATAAGTCCAAGATCAATGCTATCAGAATGGTTGATGAATTATTAATTACCTAGACACATCTCCGCCTTTTGGAACCTAGGGTATTCCACGTCTTGTAAATACAGGAAGCATGGACGGGACCGACGCCATTAAGGTACTAAGTTAGTTCTATCGTACTTGGCTGCATTCGTATCCATCTTGAAGCTTTTCTTCTGATGCATGAAGGCCCTAGGCAAAGAATGACGTATGAATTATTTCCAATATCTCATTCTCAAACGTCAGAAACATTCCTCCCACAGACCTCGATACTGGCTAAGCATAATCCTTTCTTCAGCTATAATTGGTCACTTGTATCCTTGTCCAATGAAGCAAATCGACGTGTCTTGCATAATTTAGTTACTTGCCCAGTACCTACTAGCCTAGCAATATCGCCCCGGGCAATCTGAATGGATTAGCACAATGAGCCTCAGCTCCTGTCATCTGGCTCAGCCATCTTACAAGATGTTGTGGCTATGGTTTGTGCTGCCACTGACTGGAGCTGTGTGAGAACGCCAGGTTGTTCAGAGCGGCGGTTCCAAACTACTGTGATGCCCAGGCAATTTATAATCAACGAGATCTCGGAAGAGGCTACAATGATATTTGATCTCTACACACATCGAGTACCACATTACTGTATCAGACTATCTACTACTACCTATCTAAGGAAAGGTATCTTGCAAACTGTTTCCATTGCGTGGCCCCTCGTAGCCTCGAGGTCATGCTTAAAAAACTGCTGATCTAATGCTTGGTCGCCAAAAGTCAGTGTTAGACTTCAGAGATCGAGAGAGTAAGAACCACTACTACTAGAGTCCAGGTCTATCACTGACATCGACAGCATTAACTGGGCCAATTGGCGTATTTCATGCCCTCACTCTGATAAATCTAAACGATTGACATAGCTTCAACCAACGTCACGGTTCAACTGCCCCAATCTGATCGCACCCTAGGCACCTTAGCATGGGTCTCGAGGAAGTATAGTGACATGCTGTTGACCCTGAATAGGTGTAGTACCTATGTTACTAGAAAAATCATCAACTACCTAAGGCAAAGAAAAAGGAACGTCCCATTACGGAGGGTTAACACCCTCTGAGAGGCTTCCGAAGTGGGAATTTGTGGCATGTGTAAGAATAGAAGGCTTTATAAGGAGTATGTAAGTCAAAACTTTCAGTATCGGCGAGCCACCAGATCAGTGGACACAACCCCATACTTACTTCACTAATAAGCCACAGCCGACTATTCAATTTGGTAGTTGACGGATGAGGCGAAAAAAACCATTGCTACATAGAACGGAGTGCCGTACTGGATTCCATTCATACTTAGGCGATAGTTAAAGGGTTTCGGTTATTCCTCAAACTGTGTTGTTTTCAGGCTTCACAATACGGTGAATAGTGTTATCACCCACACTCATCCATTGGTTTGAAATGACATATCTAGCAACAACAACTTAAGTATAGCCATTTCAATTTGACTGGTCAAACAAATAACCAATAAACTTATTACATGGCCTGGTGCCCTCCGTTCCTAATAAATACCACTGGACGCCGAATTGGCTCAACGGCTGGGTTTTGGATCAACAGCCTGGTGGAGAGCTCATGATATTGTATATTGTCACGAAGCAGGAAAGCCTTTCAACCAAGCACATGACGAGGCTTCCTCAGATCAAGCAAGCAATTATATCCCCAAAGTCTGACCGACTGGGCGGGGTGGTCAGCGGTAGAGACACAGCCGAGTCATGCGTGGTTCTGTTCTGCCTATGGTATCGCTCTGCGCCAGGTAGACAGACATCTCACTACAGCTGATGTTTCATCAACGACTTTGAGTAGCTCAGCTGAAGCAGGAGGGTGATGAGTAAGTACAGTAGTATTGACTGGTGGTGAAGGTTCTCGACGCTGCAACGTCTAATCAGAGAGGCACGCGCCTCTTCGGTTCCGAGCAACATCAAATACATGACAGGGAGGGCCTAGCCGAGGTGTATGTCAAATCAATAATATATCTTCCCAAGCTTCCATGATTCACTGAGTTTCATGGCTTATTTCCCTTGGTGCAACTTCAGCATCCAACTCTTGAGGAAGTTTTTAGATACGGAGCATAATGAGATCAGGGTATCTTTCTGCCAAACCAACTTTCAACGGTGCGTGGCTTCGACGCGAGGCTTATTGGTGTTCCTCTTATGGAAGCCTGGTGCATCGGTGAGGAAGATAGGAAGGGTTTGGGGCGGCGGCGAGGGTTTCTGCAGGCAAACACCAATGCAGCTTGGTACGAGAAGCAGAAAAGGAATATCCGTACATATGCAATATTAATATGCAAACATGGGTTGCATTAGCACTCCACTTTATCTCCAGGAATCCTAATGGGACCCCTGTTGGAACATTCTACTGACCAGGCTCCGTCTTTTGTTTTGCGGATGCTGTTTGTTTGGTCTCAGAAAACTGCAATTTCCCTCTGCAAAATGATGAGACGAAAAAAATCTGTTTTCACGAGCGCGTGGCACGGTGCCATTGTCTAGAAGAGTTATGAGGAATGCGGATAAACCCACCCAACTTTATTAGATCTCACGACGCTACTCCGTACGAGCAGCGCCCTCAGCGAAGAGTCTTGGGACCCAGGTTGGGTGAGCCGTCATTAGCTAAGACAGCCCGGGAAATATGGGGAGGTGAGTCCCCTACAGGGGCCAGTATGTAGAGGAACGTCAGGGAGTTAAGTAAAGTCCATCCAAGCCAGGCGGCCGAGCAGGCACCTAATATAGAGGGGCTGAGAGGGCTGGCATATGCGGGCGGCAAGACTCTCTCCACTAGGTCCGCCGTCCCATCTTGATCTCGAACAAGATTTATCGTCGACATGCATCGAGTTTGCAGTTTTCGTCAAATACTTGAGGCGTCGAGCCTTCATGATATTTCTAATACATAAAGATCCTGTAGCCGCTATTTATTAGTACTGGACAGGGCCTACCACAAGCTTTATGGCCAGAAGAAATCTCGCCAAGCCACCGCGAATGAAGTTAGAGACATTGACCAATTAGGTATGCTTTTGGCACGTTGATCAGTCCCCTATGTATTCTGTAGGAGCGTCAATCCATGGTAGACTTATCCTTGTTGAGAAATAGAATGGTGACCAATACCGCAAGGGCCTGTGTCAAGCGCAATTTGAACTGGGATACAGATACAGCTGCAATATCTACCCTGAAAATAGATAAGTAAGGTAGGTAAAAGTAATGAGGGATGACAGATTTACTTCACTTTGAACACTCTTATATTGATTGTGATGATATAAATGTTGAAACTTGATACTTCAAATCAGTCTCACATCGAGTTGGCCGTTCTTCGCAACAAGGTTTGACTTGGTCGAGACTCCTGATCAAGTACCTAGTCTGCGGGATCATAAACCTGAACTGAACTATTGTAGTAATATTTGCAAATAAGGTGGCCGCTCTATAGCCAATGTCCTCAACAACGGGACGACAGCGAGTCTTGCTCTACCATGCAACATGCCTCACGACCTTGAAATGCCATTGAAAAGGCATGATCTGGAGCTTATCTTTTTGATAAACCAGAGCCAGAACCTCTGCTCAAAGTCTCAAGAAGGCCCCGATTGTCTAGTTAATGTTTGGGACCTGTGCCGGCTAGTAATATATACGCCAGCCGGTGAAGGCCAGATGCGTACCAAGTAAAGCCCACTGGCGACAGCCCCGGTGTTTTTGCCCGAGACTTGTATCGGTTCACACTGCTTTTGAAAAGTAGAAAAATGCGGACTTCTCACGGACCACCACTCTGAAAGGAAGAACAAGATGGAGATTTCCACATTGTCATGTAGTTACCTATATTACAAGAGCAGAGACTTGAAGCCAGACAAATCAGAAGCGGCGTCCCTTCAGCTCAACTCTTGATGGTGCTGAAGTCGTTGGCAGTCGGACGTCCGTTCTGTATCAAGACATCCCACTAAGTATGGCCAGTGTGTGTAGTCTGTGGAATTGTGTTGTGAAGATGCTCTATGATACATGGAGGCCTGTGAGGTTATCGCTGGTGAGGTTATTGAAATGGACGGCAGTATCATCATGTGGGATTTTTTTTTTCTATCTCGGCGGAGAATAGCGCTGAAGTAAACCCCTTGGTCCTTGCCAGCAGCTGAAATGTCTGCGGCAGTCCCTGCCTCCTGCTTGAATTGGATTGGATGTGGATGTGACGGTTGAATCGATTTCGCAAAGAAAGCAGGCGGTGGCACGGTTGGTACCGATTGAGAGGTAAGTTACCTTCCATTACATTACCTTACTTTCCCGTCCCTCCCGTCTTGAATCCAATTCATGGATGTTTATTATGTAGGTACTCGACCATGCCTTATTCCGTAGGTGCTCAGCGCAATTTAACCCTGCACCAGCTCAATTCAGTTCAGTTCAGTAGGTTGATATCGCGCTCCAACTTTAGCTGATGGCGTTCATCACCACGTTTCACTGTAGAGTCAAACACGACAAGGTTTCGCTATTTGACATTGCTTCCGCTTGCGCTACTCCGCCGAGATCGTTGCAAAACTCCCTAAAGCGACTCTTCCACGAACGGTCGAGTCTCTTTGTAACCAACGATATCCGGCTGTACCTTAGGCACTCTGGTTTGCGCCCCTCGCTCCCGTGAGAACATTGTTAGGAAGCTACTGGCTGCAGACGCCCCTTCAACCTGGACCATCCCATCAGCTTCAACCCCCCAAGCCCTCAAGGCTCAGAAGTACTACCTTAGTAGCTACCTAGGCAAACTAGGCTCCCTTCAAAATCTCTCGTCTTCACTCGCCTGCTCACTGGTTCGCGTTGGCTTGCACACCCCTGTCTTCACTCCTTCTCCACTGTCGGCTCTCTCACCAATTGGCGCAGCCCTCCGCCGACTTTGTCTCGTCATCGTCGAGGTTCCTTAGTGCCTTTGTACTCTTTAGTAGTCTCGCCCACGCGCCCTGGCTCCACGAAGCTCCCCCAGCACCGTACAGTAGCTGGTTACGGCCGACAATCTGGAGCGACAAGGCCAGTCCATCCATCTCTTCCTCTTGTCTACCCACCGCCAAACATTCTCCTTCAAGCTCCCAGCCTCGACGCTGCTCAAGCATATCTCGCCCGGCTTCATCTCCAGTACTGTTCGGATTCGCTCGCCTGTTCCCAACAAGAAAACGCCTCGAGGACTCTTTTTTTGAGGGTTCGAGTCTTGTCCACGCATCCTCGCCCGTAACGATCCGATCTCCCCGACCTCTCCGTTCACCCTTGACGTGCCTGATTACCTTTTGCTTCACCCACTTCTTATCGCATCTATTCGCCAGTCTTGCTCAATCCTTCAATTCGAACCGAGCCAGCAGTTCGACGGTCCAGCTACAAAAACCCTCACAATTGTCTACCTCCCCATTATCTCCACATTATACGACACCGCTTACTTTCGCAAACCGTTGCGACCGTCATGCACGTCTGGAGATAAGCAGCATCATAAATACCGAAGTGAACTTGTGCTCAGCACTCTGATCACTTGATTTTATCGAAGGGCCGTCTTTTCAGGCTATTTTGTGATCCGCCAAAATGGGCGCATGCATGAGCTCGAGCAATGAGGAGGCGGATCAGAAGAAGAAGAGTCAGGCTATCGATAAAATTCTGGAGGAAGACTCGAAACGATTACGGAAAGAATGCAAGATTTTACTGCTAGGTAAGGGTGGCAAGGCGACAAGTGAAGCGCTGAACCCAAGCTCGGATAGTTAACAATTTTGGCAGGTTCTGGTGAGAGTGGCAAGTCAACGATTGTCAAACAGATGAAAATCATCCATCTTAAAGGATACTCGGAAGATGAGCTGTTCAACTACCGGCCAACTGTCTTCAAAAACCTTGTCGAGTGCGCCAAGGCAGTTATTATGGCCATGCAACAATTCGACATCGAGCCTCAAAACGAAGAGAACAAGGCACATGCGGAGTTCCTATTAGAATATCAAGCCGAGTCTGGTCCTCAAGCGCAAATCGATCCGAAAGTGGGCGCGGCGGTACAAGCTCTGTGGAACGATCCAGCCAAGGATCTTCTCATGGAACATCAGACGGAGTTCTACCTCATGGATTCCGCCGAATAGTATGTTGGAACCTAATAACGAGTGCCGGTTGTTGCTGACTTCCCTTGTTCTAGTTTCTTTCAGGAAGCGATGCGAATAGTATCATCAGACTATTTACCGAACGAAATGGATGTGCTCCGAGCGCGAACGAAGACAACAGGTATCTATGAGACGAGATTCCAGATGGGGCAACTAAGCATTCAGTAAGAACATACAACTTCCGCACCGGGCACGGGCTTCTATTAACACTGGGGCAGTATGTTCGATGTTGGCGGTCAACGAAGTGAGAGAAAGAAGTGGATACACTGCTTTGAGAATGTCACATCAATCATCTTTTGTGTGGCTTTAAGCGAATATGATCAAGTCCTACTCGAGGAGAGCAGTCAGGTAGGCTTAGCAATTGCAATAGTGGTTGGTATCAGAGAATGTCTTCTAACATCAGCATTAGAACCGAATGATGGAGAGTTTACTCCTTTTTGACTCGGTGGTCAACTCACGGTGGTTCATGCGTACTAGCATCATACTGTTCCTCAACAAGGTTGACATTTTCAAACAAAAGCTGAGCAGGTCTCCGCTAGGCAACTACTTTCCTGATTACTCGGGTGGTAACGATGTCAATAAAGCAGCCAAGTATCTACTCTGGCGATTCAACCAGGTCAATCGGGCACATCTAAACCTGTATCCCCAGTAAGTTTTGTTAACGTCGACAATGACCTCTACAGGTTTCTAACATAACATAGCTTGACGCAAGCGACAGATACGTCAAACATTCGACTCGTTTTCGCAGCAGTCAAAGAGACTATCTTGAATAACGCACTTAAGGACTCGGGCATTCTTTGATAGCGAATCACTGCTCATTTGATTTTACAACTACGATGTTAAGGGCACGGAACTGTTGGCTGGCGTCGAGAGCATTTTTTTGGAGTTTCGGACACGGGGCTCAGGACGACATCGATTTTATACGATCCTTGGTTTATTGTTTATTTATTTTGTTCACGCGACACCTATACTAGGAGCATTTCTCGGGCATGGTCTCCACGGCTACGAACGAGCATTTCTCTTGTGTCAGTCCCTTCGCCGGCTCACGATACCTGGCTATACACTTGATTATCTGCAGCTCAAGGCAAACCCCTTCCGAAAAGAGTACAATCGAAGAGTCAATCGACATGGAGTTGGATTTGCGGTTTAAATATGTTGGCCTGGCATATATTTTGCTTTATCGCGTTGTGGGCGACTGGACCTTGTAGGAGGTCAGAGTTCCGGTTGGGCCTTGATCAATTGGGATTTGAATCATTGTATGACACGGAAACGAATGGCTTCACCATGCGGTCCGGTTTGCTGTCTTGAAGCTGCTTAGCGAAGCAGTGTGGTCACTTTGGATTGAACAGAAATCCTGGAGTGCGGGATAGGTGGGGATATTGCGCTACTAGCATTCCCATGGCTTCTGTCGAGCTTAAAGATGCGGGAGAGAACAGGCGTATGGCTTCCCTTTCTAGGGAGATTGGTGTTTAAGGAGCTGACTGGGAACATCAATGAAAGCCGGATTCATCCTCTGGCATGCTAATGGTTTGCTTATCTTCTCCCGGTACATATGTAGTTCTCGACTCGAACGAGGCGAATTGACGATATATATATAATGGAATCGCCTTTGATGGGCTCCATTTGGATGTTATATATAATGGCCGTGAAGTGAAAGATGAATTTTGTTCCAGTGAGATAGCTTGCTTACCTGGGTACACTAGGACAGAAATAAATTATTGGTATGAGGATAATCTCTTGGCGTAAATGACTAATTTACTTAGGCTCTGCGAAACATGATATTATGGTTCTATAGGACGTAAACTTTACTGGGATAGGGGGGAGGTTTTATGACGGGCCCTAGGACGGGGCTTACCAAAGAACCCAATATCATCAACATACGATGTTCCTGGAGCTATGTGCCATTACTGTGCAGGCAGTATTTATACTGCTTGATCAAGGCAGCAATTGCGCCACCTAGGTAGGCAGATAAACCTTCATTGATTTTGACTCTTGAGATAGGCCTACTATAGGGGGCCTTACTGTTTAAGCATCTATTTAAAAAGTTGACGGCTTGACAGCCTTGTATAAGGCTTATGGTAGCTTTTTTCTTTCTTCCTTTTTTTTTTTTATAAAAAAAAAAGAAAGAAGAAGATAATCAGTAAGTGGTAAATCTTGATGCTTACAGCCTGATTTTGCATATGTCTGACCCCCGGCAAAACATACGCTCTTTAATCTGGACGTCTGATGCTTGGCTCCCATCCATTGTGTGCCTGTCGCTCGAGTGTCGAATTCTTACTGCCGTCTCAGCTATGGGATTGGAAGCCCAGGTTTGTCGTACACAAGCTCGTCTACCTGATGAATCAGCTCAAAACAAAATTCTCAAAAACACACCTTGGGCAGCAAACTCGCTTCCTATACCTTGACTCAAGATAGTATTTTTGGCTTATCATCGATCAGGTCTGACATCTACAAGAGAACTCTAAAAACAGTTCCAAAGACATAAAAAGGCTGCCTCCAGCCCCCTCCCCCCCATTATGAAGGTGACGATGGCCTCTTCTTGCCGCTGACACAAATACCGAAGCAGATCATAAACAAGGGCTGAAAAGGATGTCAGGCTCTTCCTGGGTTTTGTTACCACCGGAAATTCGATTCCAAATATTGGAGGAAGCCTTGCGCCAGGGTGACCGCGGCTCCTACGCGTCTGTCTGCTCAGAATGGAAGGTATTTATTGAGCCGCGGAATTTCTACCGACTAGAATTGAAGGTATCATGCCTAGAGCAGCTCGGCCATATGATCACTCGAACTGCGAGCCTTGTTCGCCAGATTCGGCTGAATATTGAGCTTCCACGATACTCATGTCGTTCTTGCCAGTGGCCTGAATCAAGGTCGCGTATGTCGCAGCATAGTGCCATCTTTAGGGCTGCCATACATAAGCTTTTTACTACCTTGAGTGCTTGGAAACGGACAGGCCCTTTGGTGTTAGAGCTTAACACCTTCTCACCCAGCGACTCGGAGCACTGGTTCAAAAATCTTTGCATTGGATTAGACACCCAAACCAACGGAGAACCTGAGCAGCAACAGCATGAGGCTCCTGACAGATGGCATGACCCAAAACATGGCTGGATTGATGGCCAACAGGTGGAGAGTCCCTCTGCAGGAGCTATGTCACGCCTCTTTGATCCGATATGCTTAAGTCTCCCGGACATCCCAAAGGTGCACGCAGTGACGAAGCTCGTCATACGTCGAGAATGCCGGCGTCAGATTATACCCCCAGTTCTAAGGCTATTGCTACAGAGACTTCCTCGACTACAAACTATGGTCTGCGAGCCATGGCGGGCTTGCCGCCGCTCCTGGAAGATTGCTTGTGACAAGGGTATGTTGGGGTTCCAACTAAGTTAACTTGATCGAGGCACTAATCATTTATCAACAGAGTTTGCCGCCGTGATCCAAGACAGTATGCCGAGTCATGTTGAAAAGCTCTCGATCTTTGAGGATCCAAATTACGAGCTTGTGGCGGCAATGCACCGCGATCCATTATCCAGTCAAATTATCGACGATAACATGACGGCAGGTGCCGAGGTAGTCAGAGCTCTGATCTTGAGGAGCTGTGACCTCAAATATATCTCAATCGCCTTCATGGTTGATGCCCAGCAATTTTTGGACTGTTTGCGGTCAACTCATTACTGCCACAAATTACGATCGCTGACGCTCACAGCATCCATCCTCCAAGGAGACTCTCAAACTGGGCGAATCGCCTCTTTCTTAAGCGACGCGAGCTTGTTTCCACAAGAGATGAAGCAGCTTGAACGATGCATACTCTGGAACAGTAAGCGAGGAGAGGCGTGTGCGGTTATATATGAGAGGGACCGGCCAAGCAAGCAAGCTACTCTGACATGGCGCGGAACTTGGCATTTTGAGCTGGATTATGGAGTGGTAGAATCCTGGGAGAAGGTCGACTCAGATTTAACTCTCCGAATCGAAAACGAGGAGGTAGAAGCAATCGTCAAACAACATGGTGACGCTATATACCACTTAAGCTTGCCAGCGGAGATTATCGATCCAATTTCTGCCCGGCAGCTACGAAGGGAAGCATTTATGTGAGAAGGAGTTTGATGAAGGGCCATCTTGTTGGCTCCCAAGGTGCCTGTTCCTCGTTGAAGAGTCATGTCTAGACGAAATTTATAGGTAAGGTACCTTTAGTATCAATGTACATGGTGATAGGCAGGACAGCCACGGCGCAGGAAATCGCCTAGGTCATATTGTGACAAGAAGCATTAGTACCTACTATACCCAGGTAGCGGAGGGAGCAGTAGATATAATACTTCTGACTTCGAATTGATACCTGTTGGTCCCTTAGTGTTACCTAGGTACGATGTTCCTGGAGCTATGTGTCGTGCCATGTACTGACTGATCTGGATGTGGATTGGAGCTTGGACCCATGAGCGACCGACAAACTACTAAGAATAGACTAGTGGGCAGGGGCCTAAGCTCATGAATTACATACTATCCTGTATCCATCATGACTGTGTCCGGTTAAGGAGGTAACGTGTTGAAGCTCAGCATCATGGGTACTTGTGTTCTAACAAGGGGCAGTTCTCAACTATCAAACTTGGTTTTATGAGGTTCAGTCATGTTGTATAGCCATCAAGCCTGGGGCTCTCATCAGCAATTTCAACATCGGGGGGGCCGAGCACGTGCGGTACTATGTGCGTCCATGTGGTACCAGAGCTTGTTCTCTAGGTACGCAGCTCCTTCTCAACGCTCTCAGGCCGTGTCATTCGACAGGACCCATCTCGGTGCTACCGACTTCGCGGCAGGCGGCGGATACATATACCAAAGATTCTGTGCTGGATATAGTCCTCGAACAAACAATGGTTCTCTTCAGACCAGGCATCTTCCATTGTCAACGCCTAGCCCTCGTCTACCCTATATCAATGGTCTGGTTTTGCCCTGAAAGGCTGTAAGCTGCAACACTGAGTATGTCTGTCAAGACGGTAAGCTGGCTACCCGTTAAGTCTGATATTCGAGCTCCTTCGTGTCACATGTAGCTCTGCTGGGTTCGGTGACACCGCGTGGTGACGAACAAGGTTGTATATTTAAGAGGTCTTAGCTTAGGTCGAGACCGAATATCGCTGAACCGAAACAGCTGAGTTCATACTGAAAAGGTGCTACTGCTGCGTAACAAACACACCGGACGTCACGGCCCCGCAATCCGTTGAGAGAAAAGCTCACGCTAAGTCATGAAGCGAGGCTTCATTGATTATTGTGTCTGCGTACCTGTGTGGGTGGGACTGTCTTGGAGTATGCACTGTCAGCAAATAAGTTGCTTGACAATGAATGGGATTCAAGATACGGTCTGCATTCGCAAAGGTACTAGGAGGTGGCATGAGGGGGAGGGAGAGGGGGAGGACATTCATCGGGCTCTTTCTACAGGAAGCTTGACTGCCTCAGGTTAGGTCGCATAGAGAGGTTGGAGGGGCAATGGACAAACGAAGACATCAGGGGTTCACATGTCTTGAGGCGTTGCCTCCTTGTAGTACATAGGAACGTACCTAGGTATATTCATAGAGGCATTCGAATGATGGAAGGCACCTCTCTGAAGCAGTAGCATATCATGACTGTCCATGCTGTGTATTAGTCGTGCTGCGAGAATATCAAGCTTATGATGATTCGCTGTCTTTACTACTATTCTTGATAGGTATGTCTGGTTGGATCGCATCGCATCGCATGCTCTACAAGAGTAGGTGTGCGTCGTATGTCGTCATGTCACAGAACGGTTGCTGCGGGGGAGGGGAACCATGCCGCCAGTTGGTGATGGTATGTGACCTAGCAGAAGGAGGAAAGAAAACTTTACGATCCTTATCCTAAATAGCAAAAAGACTTAGGTAAACTATACTAAACTTAGGAGACTAGTTGATGAACTTATTTTGGCATCTTCTTTGAAGGTCTCAAGTTTTCTTGCTCCCAGAGGCCTAGTCATTGCGGGAGAGCAAGCAGGAGGGCGGCATTGGCCGGTAAGCGGAGCAAAAGAGACGAGATGCAACGCAGTATAGGTGGGAGCTCTAGGTGATGCTACATTCAACAAGCAAGACAAAACAAGATCACACGCTAAGTAGGCAAGAAGGTAGCTCATCGTCCGTCCAGAGGTGGTGGAGGAGGAGTCTTGACGGGAAGCTCGTACCTACTCCGTAAAGACTGACTATAAGCTCCCTGCAGCTCCCCTCATCAGCTCATACCTTACCTTACCTCTTGAGCTACTTTCTCCCCTCTCTTCCTCTTTTCTTTTCCAACCTCTCTCACAGTCCATCCTCTACTGACACCTCTGAATCTTCTCTTCACAGCATCTGTTCGTCAATTGGCATAAAAATATTACCCTCTCTCATCTTTACCTCGACTCGTTTCATCCCTGTCATTCTTCTCACTCCACCAAGCTCCCCTGTTCCCCAAGCTCCCGCCTTCTCCGGATCCCCATCAACTAAGCAGACGGCCGCTCTGGACAACTGAACACGCACAAGTTCTCAATCCACAACAAACTCTATAGAGGGATTCAACCGTTCAGATTCGACATAACCACCTCCGTTCGCATATACCTTTACCTTGCCTACCAAGATCAGATCCCTGCACTTATTGGGATTCTGAGCCGCTACGATAAAAGCAGGGCACGCAAGAAACTACTGCAGCTTTACCTTGCACCTTCAACCCCGCTCCCCACCCAAAGCTGTGGCACACCTCGCGTCGTTAGCCAGTCGTGTTATCTAACGTCGAGAACTCGTTAAGTGGCATCAGTAAACCTTGTTGTTGATGTAGGTGATCTGATCTGATTCTCGCTTCACAAAAGGACAAGGGGTCTATCAATAGTGGTTGAGTATTTAACTGTTATGCCCCGGCACTGAAAGACCTTATCTCTCTTCTCTCGTCCCACAATTTCCTTCCCAGCTTTCACCACTCGACTAACAAGCCTGTGGATAGAAGCGATGGCGTCTGAACAGCAGCGTTTGCCCACCCGTGAGAGGCGCCCCTCCACCTCCGCCCCGATTGTAGACATTCAGGGTGCAGTCGGCCCCGCAGGCATCTCCCGCCCAAAACACACACGAACTGCCACTGGTTTCGGTCCTAGTGAGATCAAGAGCTTTGAAGGTATGTTGTCTATGTATTCAATCTGCAGTTCGTTCCGAATTGAATTGGGTTTCTCTGAGCTATTTCTGGAACGTTAAGATTCTTTGCTTAATGCATTTCCCCTATCGAACCACTGTAAACGATCTGCTTGCGAACGTTGACTTACACCACCAACAGCCTCGATTCCCGAGCCTCAGCGTGAAGCATGGAAGCGCAACCAGTCTAGTGGCTTTACTGGCAAAGACGGCTTCGAGAAAGAGGTTGTCCGCCACGTCGAGACCACTCTTGCTCGCTCTGTCTTCAACTGCGATGAACATGCTGCCTACTCTGCTACCAGTCTGGCTTTCCGTGATCGCCTGATCCTAGATTGGAACAGAACTCAACAGAGACAGACTTATCGCGACTCCAAGCGCGTGTACTACTTCAGTCTCGAGTTCTTGATGGGCCGTGCTCTTGACAATGCTATGCTCAACGTGGGTCAGAAGGATACTGCCAAGGGTAGGTGGATTCAGTTTTGTTTTCATTGATACTCTGCTAACTTGAGCTGTTAGCTGGTCTTGCTGAGCTCGGCTTCCGAATCGAGGACATCATCACACAAGAGAATGATGCTGCGCTGGGTAACGGCGGCCTTGGCCGACTCGCTGCCTGTTTCCTCGACAGTCTGGCCTCCCTCAACTACCCCGCTTGGGGTTACGGTCTCCGATATCGATATGGGATTTTCAAGCAGGAAATTGTCGACGGTTACCAAGTCGAGGTGCCTGATTACTGGCTTGACTTCAACCCCTGGGAGTTCCCACGACACGACGTGACTGTTGATGTAAGCCATTGAAAACTTGATTGAAAGTCAAGCACAGCTAATATCAATACAGATTCAATTCTTTGGAAATGTTAGAAAGACTACTGATGAGAATGGCAAGTCCGTTGCTATTTGGGAGGGTGGTGAGATCGTTCAGGCCGTTGCCTACGATGTTCCCATCCCCGGCTACGACACACCCACGACAAACAATTTGAGACTGTGGTCCAGCAAAGCTTCTGGAGGAGAGTTCGACTTCCAGAAGTTCAACAATGGTGATTACGAGAGTTCAGTTGCCGATCAACAACGAGCTGAGACCATCAGCGCTGTTCTGTACCCCAACGACAATTTGGAGCGTGGAAAAGAACTTCGGCTGAAGCAGCAGTACTTTTGGGTTGCTGCCTCTTTGTACGATATCGTTCGCCGTTTCAAAAAGTCTAACCGCCCTTGGAAGGAGTTTCCCGATCAGGTGGCTATCCAGCTCAACGATACCCACCCTACATTGGCCATCGTGGAGTTGCAGCGAATTCTCATTGACATTGAGCACCTTGAATGGGACCTGGCATGGGAAATTGTAGTGAACACCGTGAGTTGACCCACCTCCTTGTACCTTCATCATCTAATCTAATTGTTACCAGTTTGGCTACACCAATCATACTGTGCTGCCCGAAGCCCTGGAGAAATGGCCTGTTGGTCTGATTCAGCACCTTCTACCTCGACACTTGCAGATTATTTACGATATCAATCTGTTCTTCCTCCAGAAGGTCGAGAAGGCATTCCCCAATGATCGAGATATCTTGAGAAGAGTGTCCATCATCGAGGAATCTCAAACAAAGATGGTACGCATGGCGTACCTGGCTATTGTTGGATCACACAAAGTCAACGGTGTTGCTGAATTGCACTCGGATCTCATCAAAACCACTATCTTCAAGGATTTTGTCGAGATCTACGGCCCTGACAAGTTTACCAACGTGACCAACGGCATCACCCCTCGCCGCTGGCTCCACCAGGCCAACCCTCGCCTTTCGGAGCTCATTGCTTCTAAGGTTGGGGGTAATGGTTTCCTCAAAGACCTCACCACTCTGAATCAGCTCGAGAAGTATGCTGATGACAAGGAATTCCGTAAGGAATGGTCCGAGATCAAGTATGCCAACAAAGTCCGACTCGCTAAGCTCATTAAGTCGGCCGTGGGTGTCACTGTGAACCCTGCGGCATTGTTTGATGTCCAAGTCAAGAGAATCCACGAGTACAAGCGACAGCAGCTCAATATCTTCGGCGTTATTCATAGATATCTCCACCTCAAATCACTATCCCCTGAGGAGCGTAAGAAGGTCGTTCCACGTGTCTCCATCTTTGGAGGCAAGGCCGCCCCCGGCTACTGGATGGCGAAGCAGATTATTCATCTGGTCAACGCTGTTGGCTCTGTGGTGAATAATGATGAGGACATTGGAGATCTCCTCAAGGTCATCTTCTTGCCTGACTACAACGTCAGCAAAGCTGAGATTATCACCCCTGCATCGGACCTTAGCGAGCACATTTCTACTGCAGGCACCGAGTAAGTCAATAAACACCAAAGAATTGGTCCCTTAGCTAACATGTGTCACAGGGCATCTGGTACCAGCAACATGAAATTTGTTCTGAATGGTGGTCTCATCATCGGCACTTGCGATGGTGCCAATGTAAGTAAATGAAAAATGCATTTGATTCCACAGCTGATCAAGAATAGATCGAAATTACTCGCGAGATTGGCGAGAACAACATCTTCTTGTTTGGCAATCTCGCTGAAGATGTCGAAGATCTCCGACATAGTCACCAGTACGGCTCTCATGAAATTGACCCCGACTTGCAGAAAGTGTTTACCGAGATTGAGAAGGGCACCTTTGGCTCGGTCCATGACTTTAGCGCCCTGGTCGCCGCTGTCCGTGATCACGGTGACTACTACTTGGTGTCTGACGACTTCCACAGCTACAACGAGACTCACAAGCTGGTGGATGAGGCGTATCAAAACCAGGAGGAATGGATCAAGAAGTCAATTACCTCTGTTTCTCGCATGGGATTTTTCAGCAGCGACCGCTGCATTGACGAGTATGCTGAGAGCATCTGGAACGCAGAGCCTCTTGTCGTCCATGATTAGATCGCGCAGAACTAGTTTATGATAGAAGCAGACAAGGCTATGTGGATAGATTCACAGAGAGACGTGGGGTAAGACACTCACGACGGAACGAGAGACAAGAGAAGGAATTGGGCAGACTGGTGACATATGATTGGCGGTGAAGAATGAATTCAACCTGCGAGACCATGACAAGAGTGGATAATGGATAGGCACTCCCCTTGATAATGAAACGTGCATGGCATATATTACTCCTCTAATTCTTGACTTTGATGTGATTGCATCCTCTATAGACTTGTGTTGTTATTATGCGTGTTGGTTTTCCCAATATGTTGTTGGACCCGATTAAGGAAGTCTATATCGGTAACGCAGATCGATGAGGAGGCCTACGTAAGACTCAAGGTCGACGCTATATTTCTAGGCAATGATTCGCCGCACATACTGGAAGTATACAAAGCGCCTTGACCCATGTCCCTGTGGGGTTCTAGAGAGACTGAGGAATCGATACGAGGAATTTGTGGGGTAGTACCGTAGAATGCGACGAGATAGAGGAAGGGGCTTGGAAGGGGAAGTTCTGGTGGATGACTTACATAAGGTAGTACCTTAGTTAGCAGGTAGGCAAGACATCTCAGATGATCTCTCAACCTTGCCCGGTTGCATATCCAATGCGAGCACTACCTAGTCAAAGAAAACCATGCTCATTCCCTGACCAAACGGAATAGCACTGCACCTACTGTATCGCCATGTAGAAAGATACAGCACATGTACATATAACTATGTCAAATGTAGGTTCCGGCAAACGGTGGTACCCTGAAAAGGAATCGTGGGAGACGATGATGCCGGCTAGACGAATTAGTAGCGGAACCCGAGTCCAGGCTGGTGATTGGTACCAAGCGATCGAATCGCTGCACTTAGCTGGACTGTAAAGATTCGGTACCAAATCTTTGGAACAGTCGGGGCGGGTATTCCCTTGCTCGGTTGTTTCTACGTGCTAAGATCCGCATCACGGGGCGGAAAAGATGCGCTGTAACTAGAGAGTTTAGCTCGGCCCTGGACGCCGATCAAAAGATCTGGACCGAAGTGGCATGGTTGATCTGGGATGGCAAGAGGGTTGGTTCTGCTGGGTTAGGGGAGGATAGAATTTAGATCTTAGATGGGATCGGACAGAAGATGAACGTGTGGATGGCATTGGGATTAGGAGAGAATCGACAGGGCACGCTTGTGTTGTGAAGCCAGGGTTTCTCTCAAGGGGCGATGAGGGAAGATCTGAGGTTTAAGGGCCATGGTTTACGATATCATGAGTTAGAAAACCCAATGAATGAGAATAGCCTTCAGTTGGTTACTGGACGCGAGGAATTCAAGGAAGGTCAAGATGACACTGAGGCATATCATACTGAGACTTTACCGCAACAACGAAATGAGTAATTGAGAGGGAGAGGAGCACTATGCCCGACCAAGCATATTGAGGCCGTGGCATGAATCGTTGACATGGACAACTCCCAGTGCGAGATGTTGTTGATGGTAATCCTTGCCCTGAGGTGTGGGACTTTGGATTCTGGTACGACAAAGATGCAGTTGAAAGCTCGAGGCTTTTGATATATGACGTAGAGAATCGAGAGGCAGGCTTCTGAAAACCTGAACGATTAATTACAGCGTTGCAGCGCGTGATGAAAATTCCGAATTGATAGGTGCTGAATAGTTAGGTAGTATGCAGTGGAGGTGAGGTGAACTTAGGCTTGGGCTTGTTCTGGAAATGGCTCCACTGAAGAGGCTAGTGTTCGGGAGAATATTCGATCGTTGAGACGATTCCACGATGAGCGGACTAGGTCATTGAGCATGACAGATCGAGCCAGCAGGTACCGTTACTGCGCAAAGTTGGTGCAGAGGTACCGGCCCATGGGAACGATCGGAGACTGGGGATGGGTCCTGGCGCCGTTTGAAGAAGAAAGACAGAGGCGTCCGAGCGCCAGTCCATCCAGGCCAGGCCCCATGGATCCTGATGCATCTGCATCGGCCATCAGGCGTGCGCTGTCAGAAAACAGGGGTAAGCCAGTTGGAGGCTGAACTGACGTCATTTTGAGAAAACATGGCAGCCATGTGAATGGGGATTTTAAAAAGTTTCTGATGCAGGACACGGTATGTATGCAAGAGACAAGGGGAAAGAGGGAAAATGAGGGGAAGGGTTTAAGCAATGATGATGAGTTGAAGTGGTAACATTTAAATGATAGGTAATATTTATCTGGCTGGCTGGCTACCTACCTTACACATGGCTGAGGTTGGTGATGCCATGATGGGATGTTGCTGCAGGTGCAGATTGATACATGGCAGACTTGGCAGGGCCAGTTTGATAATGGATTGGGTGCCAATGGACGGGCTCAGCAGTATCTATCGTAGCACCCAATGTTTAGAAACCAAGAAAATACTCGATCTATATCACATCGTGCAGCGTATGCCGCCAAACCTGTAATAAAATCTCAACAACTCATGGCTGCATATAATCATAATCAACACTCTCATGCCGGACTGCACTTGGACTTCAGTCATGCATGATTGCAAAATTCACAAGGACCCTGATTTACATGGATTAGGAATCGATTCGAAAGGGCTCAAAGTGTCATCATGTCATACATCAAATTTTCAACTTTTCCATGAAAAAACTCCATGTCCTGTCAGTATCTAGGCAGGTGTGTAGGTATGTGACCGTGTAAGCGCATAACCTTGATATCCACTACGACAAGAGAGATCTCGATCCCATTACGTGTCGCAAGGGTCTGAATAAGGGGAATCACTAAATCGGAGCACACAGATGCAAACCAAATAGACGGTGACAAGGAAGAGCTCCTCGCTCTGCCTATGGAAGGAAGGTATAGGCATCTTAATCAAGCCTCTCGACGCCCTTAAGTTGGTAAGTGCCTACTTTCCAGGGTACAGCCTAACTCCCCGGAGCTCTTGTCCCCCTA